CCACACCACACCACACACCATACCACACCACACCATACCATACCATACCATACCATACCACACCACACCACACCATACCATACCATACCATACCACACCACACCATACCATACCATACCACACCATACCACACCACACCACACCACACACCATACCATACCATAGTGATACCATACCACAACCAACACTTACCTTACAAAAGCCTCCAGTACTTTAGTATTCTTTCTATCTCCGATATAATCTCCTATCGCTTTCTTGTCCAGTCGTATATTCTCTCGAAGATGATTAGCGAGTTCCTCCGGATGCACAGGTTTCGTAAGAAATCCATGTTCTTGAAGGAACTCTAAACCTTTCTTTGCCTTTGTATTAAATTGTTCGGAACCTGTCTGCAACAACTAAATGAAATAGAACTCAATGAAATCACAGGGTGCCACGAGGTTTACAAGCAGTCACTTTGTTCAGTACTTGAAATATCAATTCTGCTCTCCTTCCTCCATTCTAAGCTTTCAAACAAAGTTATTTTTCCTCAACTTGCTCTACATTATAGCCTGGTTATTTTCGACAACGACGTTAAATCTTCAAGTTATCTTGTTGAAGAATGAAAGTAGTGATACATTACAATTTTGGTTATAAGTTGTGTTGCTATCTAATCAATATACACTAGCTAAATTGGACGACTTTAAAGCCCTGGGCAAGCTAGGAAACATTGTTGTGGAAACATTTGTGATTCTCGATGTTTCCTCAAATGTGCCCACCCGTGAAAACATTGTTGCGGAAACAAAATTTGCTTCCCGAGAAGCAAAAATGTTTCTTAGCAAATTCAGAAACATTCGATGTTTCCCTATGTTTCTCACTAATGTTTCCTAGTGTTTGCCCACTCCGGGAAACTTGGCGAAACATTGGCAGAAAACAATGTTTCCATTAACAATGTTTCCTAGTTTGCCCAGGGCTTAAGACTCCCTAGATCGCTCCCCACAGAGTTGCCTACTTTATCAACATAGCCACGTACTCAGAATAATTTCGAAAGCCCTGCAAGCGGAGGTGGGAAGGAAGGTCCTTGTATTTTGACTGTAAAACCAGAGTAGTAAGCGAAAACACGTCAAACAACAATATTTATGTCCACATTTCCACGCACCTTTTTCTTTTTCTTAAGCTGGGCCAAATCATCAGGGGTTGGGACAGAAGATGCGAACATGACTGCCAACGCTGAGGAATGGGTAAGACCGTCGTCTTGATCAAAGCTAGGATCATTGCTTTGTGAAGGTGGCTCACTACTGCATCCGATCTTCATTTTCTTTGCCATCAGAAAGCCGGAGGAGGGCGGTGGGGTTGGCGAGAAGGGTGGAGTGTCACCGTTTTCATCTGTACCAGAGTCATCGTCACCTGTGGGAGAAGATGTCATGTAGTTGTGTCGTGTTACGAAATATCACTATGGCCACTGCTATACATGTATAACCAACGTCCAACGAGGAATAGCAAGTCAAGTCAGTGAGCCCTAAATTTTGTGTTTTGACTTCGACTTAAAGAACAATGTTATGTCCCACATTATTCACCACCGTAGTCACTAGCACCATCAACACTACCATCACCAGATTATATCACCATCAGTCCATCACCACAATATTCACCACCATATATATTAATCACCATCATCACTAAACCATCAACACTACCATCACCAGAACATATCACCATCAATCCATTACCACAATATTCATCACCATATATATTCATCACCATATATAGTCACCACCATCATCACTAGCACCATCAACACTACCATCACCAGATCATATCACCATCAGTCCATTACCACAATATTCACCACCATATATAGTCACCACCATCAACACTAGCACCATCAACACTACCATCACCAGATCATATCACCATCAATCCACGACCACAATATTCACCACCATATATAGTCACCACCATCAACACTAGCACCATCAACAAAACCGTCACCAGATCATATCACCATCAATCCATGACCACAATATTCACCACCATATATAGTCACCACCATCATCACTAGCACCATCAGCACTACCATAACCATCGCCACCATCATCATTACCATATTCACCACCATGTCACCACCATCATCACTACCATACTCCCCCCCCCCTAACTATACCATCGCTATCAAGACCATCACAGACACCACTAACAATACCATACCTGTTTTATGATTAACCTTGATTTTGACAGGCTTCGGCACTGGTATCGTTGGATGACAATGAGCCTCAATGACATGAACGACTTGCAGTAAGGCATCCAGGGCTGGAACATTTGCAGTTGTCAGACTTCCTGCTGGAAATGCATTCTAAAACACGAGATGAATACTTTCAAAACTTGGCAAAACTATTACTATATTACCATTAAACACACTAAATAAATAAGCATGTCTGTCATCTATTCTTTTTGCAGGTAATAATTCGCAGTTAGGCGAGACTTTTTTTTATTCATTGGTTTACGGATCCGCCGACCGTAAATATTCAGAAAGTGAAAAATAAAAAAAATTTGGATGTCAACAATTTCAACTAAAATAGTTAACTTTAGAGTAATTTGGGGGTTCTGACATGAAGTACACGCGAAGTAAACTTTGACTCTAAGTACTACTGGCTGATGTTATCGTGGTGACAATCTTGAAAAACAATGCTTTTTTAATTTTTTTTCCGACCTACCGATCTGTTTTTTTTTTCAAGTAAAATCCGTAAACCAATAAATAAAAAAAGTCTCGCCTTAGCCAGAACAGGTTTGGGACCGAGTTGCGACGGGGGACCGAGCAGTCTCGTTCCCCGAGCTTGCGATCCTTGGGACCGAGCCACTGGGGGAAACCTTTTGAGCAATTGGGCATGAGAAAGTCAATTTTTGCAATAGGAAATATAACTCAGTTCTTGAATTGACAGCTTGAGATTTGATCAATAGAATAGAATGTTATAGAAAATACAAGATATAGAGGGGGGGGATAAAATACAAAGCAAATTCCACGTGGCGTTTATTGACTCCATCATATATTAAAATACGATCATGCACAGAAACGGTTAAATGAACGTATATGTACTCTTTCCCCACTTACTTTTGAAAGGGCCTTACACAATTCTTCAAATAAATTAACACAGTACAGATCGCAATCGTAATTGACGTAAAGTTCGGAAACCAAGTCAGGGATGTGAAACAACTGATTGATATTATCCAGGATTAATTCTCGCTTTTCAAAGAGCAGCACTTGTTGGTCCAATGATAAGATTTCCAAAAGACGTTTGAAATAAGACTAAATAAAATTAAAAAGTCACGATGTAAAAATGTTTTATCATTTATACTGTAAATAGCAAATTCTTCAATTTCGACTACACAAAGCTGTGGTTACCCAATTCACCAGAGGCTCATGATACAAGTGCTCGACAACTAAGGTAAGTTTGTGTTCATATGAGAAACGAGCCGAACTTGGCTAGATGAGATCTCATAGTTGGAAAATAGCTGGCATGGTTGGTGTTAAAACTTACCTCGAGCTGTAATTTCAGATGTCCTCTAAGTGCTTCAAACAACAGAAAACAAACTCTCAAGGCCATCGCGAATAACGAATGTACGTCGCACTGCAGAAGCTAGCGAAAGAAACAACATATATCAATATACATGCAGATTGTAAACTTGTTGGAATCAACTTTGTTTACTTTTCATCCCTTATTTGTTCAGTTTTACCATGGATAATAAAATACATGGATAGGAAACTAGCTGACGTGACCTAATGTTTTCAATGGGATGATGGCGTTGAAACCTAGTTGCAAACCAAATTCTCAAAAACGGCATGTTTAGCGATAATATACAGCTAAACATTTTAGTCAAAGAGTAAATAAATATAACTAGGCCATTCTACGATGAAATCTCTAAGTATTTCCGGTCAATTTTAGCAAATATTTCAAGCACTAAACAGTGAAAAATGCATCGCAAATTTCGTTAAAATTGGCGCCGCCAATTTCGTAGCTGCAAATGTAGAAAAATACAAAACAAAGACGAAAAACATTTACCTTGAATACTTTGTCGTGGCTTAGACCAGTTTATAAAACAATTAGACCAGTTTATGCTTCAATATTACTCTTTTAAAGCGGAAAATATAGCGAAACAACAAAAATGCTGAGAACTTTGGCAATACACGTGACGTCACAGATTGCAACTAGGTTTAGACTGTGACGTCAGGACGTTTCCTATCCAGTTATTTTATGGTTTTACTACTAAACTAAACTAAACTAACTTTCTTTATACTGGATAGCTCTATCAGTTCTGAACTGTTCTTCCTAGAGGTCCAGTAAGGATCATCTCTTATTGATCCAGTGTTACTACAGGAGGAACCTAAACTAAGCTAAGTTTACTTGACAATATATATATTTTTCGCAATAATCTTACCATAAACAGGTTTTTGCACATTTCATCGCTGACGAGATTCATGAGGGATGGAAAAGCTCCAATATGGGCCGCTCCTGATTCCAGAGCTACGGTTAGTAATGATAATCCAATATGGATCATTGGCTCAGAATTATGTCTGCATGAAAATAATAAAAGAATCGAATTCATAGGCAGAACTGGGCAGTTTTGTATATTGGTTTATGTAGGATATGGAATTAAGTAAAACCACATATTTTGTGACAAAAATTTCATTTCGCTTTTAAAGTAGCGTCTGTGACATAGTAATTATGATCATTACTTAAAAAGTTGGGTTGAGAAAGGCGAATTACCTGTCGTGTGGGTTAATCAGAGAGATGAGAAATCTGAGTAATTCCCGTACGCAAGGTAAACCATACGGAACAAGAGGACCATGACCTGAAATTACAAATATAGAGATATATAAGGTATAATAAATATGAGAATTTTCAAGCACTCGAGTCATTAGAGTGACAATACGATTCAAATCTATATGTGGCTTTAAATTTTTAGTCAATTTTCTGAACGAGGATCAGATAGCGAAGGTAATATGTTATTTCCTTATCTGATTGTATATAGGCCTTATTTATGTTTTTTACATTCATATAAATACGAAATGATCAACATTATCACAACCACCATCATGTTACCATCATCACCATAACTACCAACATCAGCATAACCACCATCATAAGCAGAAGGATCACTACCAACACAATCACAACCATATAAATCATCATCAGTCACTACAACTACATACATATCATCATCACCATACCTACCATCATCAGCATGACCACCATCACCATAACTACCAGCATCAGCATGACCACCATCATAAGCAGAATGATCACTACCAACACTATGACTACCACCACTACCACCACAATCACAACCATAATCATCACCATCATCAGTCACTACCACAACTACATACATATCATCATCACCATACCTACCATCATCAGCATGACCTTCATCATAAGCAGAACGATCACTACCAACACTAGGACTAACACCACTACCACCACAATCACAACCATATAAATCATCACCACCATCAGTCACTACCACAACTACATATTATCATGACCATCAACCCACTATAACCATCAGCCACCATCACCACCACCACCACACCATCATCACCACCATAATCACTACCATCATTATCATCACCACTGCTAACATTACCATCACTATCATCGTGACAACCAACCCATCATGAAAATATATTTGCATCAGCACAAACCTTCTTTATGAGCCTCAGGTGGTGTAAACCTGACACCCTTGGTGCTCACATATTCTTCCTGCGTTACTGAAGATTCAGACGAAGCTATATCGGCATGGTTGGTTTCTACAGATTCTTCCTGGTCGATGGTTTCAGTTGATGTGCCATGTTCTAGTTGACTGTCTTCCTCTGTCGTAATGCTGCTTGCACGACTTTCCTGTTGGGGGAAATTGCAAACAGAGGTCAACGTGAATGACAAGTGCACGCCAATGACAAGTGGAGTTTAGCTCTAAAGCTAAACTGCTGTGGTTGGTGTCTGAAGCACCTGAAAATGACTAAAGCCCTGGTCAAACGGGAATGAGAGTTGATGAGAGTTGACAAGCGAGAGTTAGCATCACGAGAGCTTTCTCAACTCTCATGCCTCGGTCAAACGAGAACAAGAGTTGCATGAGAGTGAGTTTCCATCATGAGAGCTTTCTCAACTCTCATGCCTCGGTCAAATGAGAACAAGAGTTGCATGAGAGTTGAGAAGCATCATGAGAGCGTTCTCAACTCTCATGCCTCGGTCAAACGAGAACAAGAGTTGCATGAGAGTTGATGAGAGTTGAGAAGCCAGAGTTTGCATGAGAGTTGATGAAAGCTGATTGAATATTACCGCGCGATAGCGAAAACTCTTATCAACTCTCATTAAAATTTGAACCAGTTCAAAGTCAATGATGACTAGTTCAAAGTCAATGAGAGTTGATGACCGGAGCTTAATGCCCTGGACAAACAAGAACAAGAGTTGCATGAGAGTTGATGAGATTTGACTGAATATTACTGATCAAATGGCCACAAACCCTCATCAACTCTCGTCAAAATGTGAACCAGCTCAAAGGTGATCCACAACAACCTGGACATAATTCTGTTCACCGGCATACCTTATCAACGACGTCATCCTCAGTCCCAGGCTCTCCTTCAAGAGGATCGGTCATCAAGTGCGAGGCAACGGAATCACAAGTTGGACTGGCTGCATCCTTGGAAGCTTCAGGTCCGTCAGAAGGATCATTTTCAGGACTACAAGTTAGAAATTTAAACCATTAAAGTCCAATACTTTGAACTCGTCAAGTACACTTTTGCATGTTAAATAAAAAGCAGTTTATTTAAAGGACATACGACTCGAAAATTGACGTTG